CCATGCTACCTGCTGGTCCAAGGGTCATTAAGTTCTGCCAGGCTGGGGTGACTTTCTTCTTTTAGCAAATTATAAGTTCTTAGGCTACTATGCAGTTTGTTGTAGTCACTGCTTTTCTAACTTTTCTTTTGTTTCTACTTAGTCCCTCAAAGTTTCAAAATCCCCATAGGTCACTGAAGAGATAGATACTCAGTTGTTGAGCAGTGTACCTAGGCTTTTCCTTTGGTCTCATTAAAGAGGTCATTGATATACATTCTTCCCCTTCTGGCAGCAAATTATGGAAGGCCTTGTCCACTTTTACCTGGCCTTATCATGAATTTGTGTATAAGTTCTCATGTTGATTTGAAATAACTTGGAATAATCATAAGCGATTTCCCTCACAGTTCATTAAATATTACTAAATAAGTTCTGCTATCCCTGCCTCCTCCACATCACATGGACTCACTTGTAAGGAAAATAATAGCAGGATAGACAGTAATCTGTTCTTTAGCTGCTGTGGGGATAGATATTCAATATGTATGAGGAGGAAAGATGCTAATGAAAGAGTAGAGTGAGGAAAATAATTCTGACTTAAAATGAGCAGAACTAAATTTAATCCTATTTTGCTCTAACTAGTTATATTACCTTAAGAAAGTATTTCAGCTTTACTAGGCAATTCTTATTTCAAAAGGAGTGGGGCAGGCAATGGTAAAGTAAGAAACTTGGAGGTAGTCCCACATGGGAGAGTTAGTGTTTCAAGTCCAGAGACTTCCCTGAGTATACCAGGCTTAGGCATGTCCATGATCCAGGGATGGCTGAAGTGGATGTATTGTGGTATGATGACCCTGCTGGGGTTGCTTGATTGCACTGTTGTTTTCTCACTGTCTCTTGCTCGTGGAAGAGAGAAAGAGAGAAAGAAAAGAAAGAAAAACTTAATAATATCTCCTCTTAATTGGATCTATCCACATCACATACTTAGTAGAGCCATTCATTCATTCATATGTTCAAAAATAACTGTTGGTTGCCCTTCGTATGCCCATACAGTTCTAGTTGCTGGAACTAGAACAGGGAATAAAAGGACAAAATTTATATCCTCATGCCTATATTGAGTAGAGTCAGATGATAAGTAAAATATATGATATGACAGATAGTAGTAAGTGTCATAGAGAACAATAAAAGAGGTAAGGGAAGGTGTTAGAGAAAGGGAGAATGGAGTTTCTGGAAAAAAATTTTTTTTTTTTGGAGAGATTTTTGCTATAGGGCCTGTGCGCTCGCCAGAAAGACAAGAGAGAAACAGAGAGACAGAAAGCGAGAAATCACTCCCTAGGGGAGATGGCCACGCTGCAATCCCTTCTCCATTCTCCTCTTGGGATCTTGGGCACACACACACACACATGCCTGGCATGAGTTTAAGCCACTGGGTCCAGGACTCGAACTGTGGTCGACTACATGGGAGTCCAGCGACACAGCCATTATGCCAACTGCTAGTCTTTGGAGCTTCTAATTTTAAGTAAAGTGATCAGGAAATACTGTATTGAGAAGGTAATATTTAGATAAAAATTTATAGAAAATGAGCAACTGAGCCACACAAATATCTAGAGGAAGAGTGATTCAGGTTAAAAACTCAAGGGCAAAGACCCTGGGTCCAGAGCATGTGTGGTATGTTCAGGTCACAGTGAGAAGCCAGTGTGGCTAGTATGAGTGAACCAAAAGTGGAATAGTAAAATTGTAGGTCAGACCATGTAAGTCCTTATCATTTTGGTAAGCCTTTACAGGGTTTTGAGCAGAAAATGACATGGTCTGATACATATCAAATATACATGAATTTGCCAGTAGCACAGGTACTCAGGAGACGAGAACAAATGACCCACTGGGGTGTGGTTATTTACTGAGAAGGGGAAGAATATGAATGAGCTGATTTGGGGGAGAAGATAAAAAAATTTAGTTTGGGGCATGTTAAATTTGAGATGCCTATTAATATGCAAGTATAGATATCTAATATATAGTGGGATACATAAACCTGGAGTTCAAGATAGAAATTTGGGTTGTTGATGTAAATTTGGGAGTTGTCAATGTATGTGTGGTATCTAAACCATAATACTAGATGAGACCTCTCAGAGTGTGAATGGCTATAGGGAAATCAAGAAGTCTTGAGGCCTGAGTCTTGGAAATAAAAAGGAAACAAAGGAGACAAGTGAAGAGTGGCTGGTGAGGTAGGAAGAAAACCAGGAGATGGAGACCAGCAGATGGCGTGGTGGTTAAATTTTAGACATTCCGACATGGCCAACCATGGTTCGAGTCCCGGACCTGGTGGCTTGCTTTCCCAGTTTTCCTCTCTAGATTACTTATTTATTATCAAATAAATAATTCTTAACCAAAAAAAAAAAGGAGAGAGAGAGAGAGAGGGAGAGAAAGAAAACCAGAAGAGAGTTGTTTACTGCAAGCTAAGGGAAGAAAGTTTTGTTTTTTTTTTTAAGATTTTTAAAAAGAATTATTTAATTTTATTTATTCATTCAATTAGTTTAATTTGACCAGAGAGAGCTATACAGAGAGAGAGAGAGAGAGAGAGAGAGAAAGTGAGAAAGCAAGCCACCAAGTCCAGGACTCGAATGATGGTTAGCTATGTGGGAGTCTCCACTGCTTTAACCACCACGCTGCCTGCTGGTCCTGGGAAGAAAGTATTTTAAAGATCAGCAAAGTTAAATGCTGCTGATAAATCAAGTAATGTGAGGACCAAGAATTGAGGACTCAAGATTGGTGAAGCCTCCTATTTTTAGATCACCTAGGTAGGTTATAAAGGGTTTCATTTCTGGTCTCATTAGTAATGTGTCTAAAAAAATAACAATGAAATTTTCTTTTTTTAAATGATGAAATAATTAATGATTTCAAGTGAGAGACATTCTTCTGACCCATTGTTATGTAATACATTGCTGAATGAGTTATTTATCTGGGTGATTTCATGAGGATCTGGGCCACATGGTGTAAAGGAGCACACTTTAGTCTCTGGGGAGCATCCAGTAACACCTGAGAAGTACTCCAGCCAGGGGCTGCTTGTTGCCACCTTTGCTATCACTCTCTGTACATTAGGGTTCAGATGGAGAAAAGGGATACATATAATCACACAACAATAAAAAACTGCTGTGCATCAGAATATACCATAACCAAGGTCATTAGACTGGAAGTTATTTGCAGCAAGTAACACAAAGGATCCTGAAAGACAAAATGTATTTAGAAAGATTAAAATTAAATAGTCTGACTACTATTTTAAAAAAAAAAAAGTGTATTCATTTATTTCTTCTAAGAGAGACAGACAGACAAGAGAGACAGGCATCCCCAACTAAGTTTGCATGCTGTGCACTGTCCCCAGTCTTGGCTAACCTGGATCATGAGCATTTGTGTGTGCCTGATGTGTTCAGGGAGGTCTTAGGGTATGAACCCAGGGCCTTTCCCATGTGGATTCAGTTGTGTTATCATTGCACCACCACCTGATTCCTTATAATATTAGCTTTTTTATTTTTATTTTATTTATTTATTTATTTGTTTGTTTGTTTGTTTATTTATTTTTGGAGAGATTTTCGCTATAGGGCGTGTGTGCTCGCCAGACAGACTGAGAGAGACATAGAGACAGAAAGCGAGAAATCACCCCCCAGTGGGGATGGTCACGCCGCAATCCCTTCTCCTCCATTCTCCTCTCGGGATCTTGAGCACGCACGCACACGCGCCCGGCGTGAGTTTTAAGCCACCGGGTCCGGGATGCGAACCGCGGTCGACTACGTGAGAGTCCAGCAACATAGCCATTACACTAACTGCTGGTTCCCATTATTAGCTTTTGACAAAAATATGGGATAAGTTTATATTATATACTTGTTAAAGTATAAGTTAGCATAGCCACTATATAATAGCAAAAAGTAGTAGACTTCTAAAATGTGGATCAGCAAATAAATGAATAAATAGATGTGGTATAGTCACCTGCTAAAATGCTGTACCCAGCAGAGAAAAAAGATGTACTTGATCTATGTGTATCACCATGGATAAATCTCAAAAACAAGATTGAATTAAACACACACACACACACAAAGTAAAATTCATTGTGATACTTTTTTATATACACAAAAAATAACACATACACACAGAAGTATACTATGCAGGGATACATATACCTGTGAACATATGGGTATATATGTAAAGGTATTAGAAACAAGATTATGCAACAAATTTACGATACTGAGTGGCCAGTAAACAGGGTATTAGCTTTATCTGTGGACTGTAAGAATACCTATGTTGGAATGTTTATTTCCAGTTGATAGACACACAGGTTTTTGATATGTTCTTTGCACTTTAGTAATTTTATGTAGCTGAAAATTTTAAAAGAGGGGCAGTCAAGTTTTATAAGATGAGCTCCCAAAGAATAATTAGCCAATCCATTTACTTGTAACTTTTTATTTTTTTACCTACCCATTTATCTCTATCTGTATGAGAGGGAATGAGATAACTGCATTATGGTAATTCATGACAATGGTCTTGACATCAATACAGATGAAGAAATGAGGATTCTTACTAGTATAGATCATATTCTACATTCTGACTCCAGGTGTTTAAAAACTTTTTATTACTAACTACAAGGTTGGTTCCATGGATGAGGGAAATGGATCTCACATGGCTGACTATGTGGTTCAAGTCCTAGACCTGGCATCTTGAGAGACACGCTGGGTAGGCGTATGTACACATCTACCCAAAATCCTGAAAGGAAGGAGAGATAAGGGAGAAGGAATTGCTTCACGACCATATCCCATTGGGGAATGCTTTCCTGCTCTCTCTTTCTTCCTCTCTCTCTCTCTCTGGTTAGCACATACGCCTTCTGGCACATAAAAAAAATTACTAACTACAAGCATATCAACTTGCAGAAAGTATATTTGCTTTCATAGCTATAAGCATGAAGATTATAGCATGATAGACTGAGATATGTTATAACCTTAATAACAGCATTGTGCTTTTTCTCTTGTCTAACCTCTCTCCTACAGGGAATCTTTAACCAGTTTCAGTGTAGTAGTGAAAAAGTGCTTCCATCTGATACTCTCCGCAGTGCTCTGGCAAAGACTTTCCAGGATGAACAGCGTTTCCAGCTGGGAATTATGGATGATGCTGCAGAGTGTTTTGTAAGTGTGAACCTCTGGCTCTCTTTGATATGGGATGGGACTGTTGACAGTCTCCATCAGGGACTGGCTACTGTGTAGTGGAATTTACCATGCCCTGATCTCTACAGTTAGAACTAGGAGTTTCTCTCAGAGCTCTAAAATGTCTGCTATTGTAGCGTGAATTACCTGTTGGGTTTATTATTTTTCTTTCAGTCTTAGAGTAGTTTTGTGCTTTCCATTGCAAAGAACAGTGGTTCCTACATTTAGAGACCCAAGACTTATTAAAATATGATTGATGGGACCAGTTCCTTCGCATGGTAGTTAAGGCAGCAAGATGCTACATGAGTGACCTTGCCATTTGAGTCTTAGACCTGGCGATTTGAGAAACACACCAGACACATGTGCATGCATGCCCCAAGTCCCCCAAAATGGGAGAGATGGAGAAGTTATTGTGGCATGACCGTTCCCCATGAGGGATGTTTCCTCCTCTCCTGTCTCTGTCTCTTTCTGACAAGCACCTGCACCCTCTAGAACATAAAACAAAACAAAACCAATGGGTGGACTGTATCCCCAGAGTTTTCTCATTTAGTAGGCCTCATATGGTAACCAAGAATATCCAGCTCTAACAAGTTCATAGGTGATGCTAATACTGATACTACTGGTCTGGGACCCATACTTTGAGAATCCCTTCATTTCTGAAGATAATGGAACAGGGACCAACCAAGTTCCTAGTACAAGTGTGATGTGCTGTATAGATGGCAGTGTTGTCCTCAGTGACTTCTAGCAGAAGACCTTCTGAACTCTGTGTTCTCTATGAGTCTTTGAAGATTTTCTCTGGGAATTTTTTAAAAAACTGAGTGATGTACATCCTATCACAGGGCAAAATGGGGGCCAAATCAGGTATTCCTGAGAAATTGGATAACTAATGTATTGCTGGTGTGAATCTAAAATGGCATATATAGTACTCTGGAAAAACATCTGGTAATTTCTTCAAAAAAGAAATATGCGGGGCCAGCAGATGGCATAGTGATTATCTCACATCGCTAACCGTGGTTCAAGCCCTGGACCCAGTAGCTTGAAAATCCCACTGGGCACATGTGTGTGAGTGCCCAAAATCCCAGGAGAAGAAGAGATTGCAGCGTGACCATCCCCCTGGGGGGGTGATTTCTTACTTTCCCTTTCTCACTGTGTCTGTTTCTCTCTTTCTCTGTCTCTTTCTCTCCAGCGAGCATACATGCCTTAAGGCAAAAACCTCTTTTTATTTTTTTTTTGAGAGGTTTTTGCTATAGGGTGCCTGCACTCGCCAGAAAGAAGAGAGAAACAGAGAGACAGAAAGTGAAAAATCACCACCCAAGGGGGAATGGCCACACCACAATCCCTTCTCCTCCATTCTCTCAGGGTCTTGGGCATGCACGCACACATGCCCGGCATGAGTTTAAGACACTGGGTCCGGGACTCGAACTGCGGTCAACTACATGGGAGTCCAGCGACATAGCCAAAAACCTCTTTTTTAAAAAAGGAAATATGTGGGGCTGGCAGGTGGCGTGATGGTTCAGGACTCCCACATGGCCAACCGCAGTTAGAGTTCCGGACCTGGCAGCTTGCTTTTCGACTTCTTTCCTCTATCTCTCTTTCTCTCTCTCCCTCTCTCTCTTGCTCCCTCTCTCCCTCTTTGGTCAAATTAAAATAAATAAATAAATAAATAAAGTTAAATAAAATAATTTTTAAAAAAGAAATACGCATACCATAATATGATCCAGTAGTTGCATTCCTGGACATGTATCCCAGAGAAAAGAAAACATATGTTCATATGAAAACCTGTATGTGCATGTTCATAGAAGCTTTATTCTTCAGTGGGTAGATGCTTAAACAAACTGGTATTTCTTTTTTTTTAAAGAATTATTTTATTTATTTATTTATTTATTTATTT